CTCCAAGGCTGCATTGTGTGGCAGACAGAAGCAGGTTACTGCAAATACAGTCTGAAGTTTGAAGAGTGAGGAAATGCCACCCATCAATAATGAATTTATATTCATATCGGAGACAGAGTATTGTACTTGATGTGAAAGGGACCTCAAAATCAGTGAAAGACAACCCAAGACCAAGTTCTCAGGACAAAGGAGATTTATTTGCCAAAGAGGGACAGAGGACAGGGAATAGGAAACAAAGACAGGAGATAGAAGAAGAGGGAGAAGGGGAACGGAATAGGGAAAGGGGGAAGAGGTATTTGTCCCAGAGGGACAAAGAATTGCCTCTGGATAGTGAAGAGACAGACAAGGCCCATAGGCAAATGATAGTTTATAATGGCAAAAGGGGCAAAACTTCGACTTAGGGTGAGGTGTTTAAATTTGATTGGGTCTTCTAATTAGGACACTCAAAGGGGACTTTGGATTGTTGGACTTTAATACTTTGATAGCTGGACCTTGGTAGTCAGATTCTGGGGAGGGAGGCAATGAACAAATAAAGGAATCGAGCTTGATGGCTAGCTTCAGAAACATAATTTAATGGTTTATCAAGATAGAGGGAATGGGGGAAGGGCAAGGCCTGACAGAACCATATCTGCCATGCTAGGCCTGCTAGAACCTCTGATTTGACATGGTAAACTCCTATGCAGGATTTCATGAAAATGAAAGGCGCCTGAGGTTTCCCTGCTGTGAAAACAGAATAGCTCTTAATTTTCAGACATTAAAATTATATCCAGATAAAGATTTAAAGCTTCTGGAAGCACTGGAACAGCTGTTTTTACTAGCAGAAAGGAAAGGGGGGAGGGAGGATGTGTAGAACTTAATGCCTTAACTGTAACATTGCTAGACAATAACTGTTTATATAAGATGGATTAAGTACTTTTCAAAGTGTACGGCCCTTGAATAAATAAACACATTGAGGCTTCTTAAACACTAGCGATTAAGCTGCAATGAATTCCAGCCCATCCTTAAAGCTGGCTGTTCATTTTCCCTTTCTCCTGACAGTCACATAGTTAGCAGAGGCTGGGTCAAGAAGACGGAGAGAAGGCCTTTCCTAAGTTCAGGCAAGCGTTAAGTTTCTATGAAGCAAACTAGTTCTTTAATGAACAAAGTGGGAAAGAATCAGTTCTCGTTATTACCCAGAGGACGCCACCCTTTCTCTTACTACAAATCTTCTCTTGTGTCAGCGCCTCTATAAGATACTGTCACTTCCTTGATCCCCTCTAGCAGAGTTTTGACAAGGTGCTGTGGTCTGGGTAAAACTTTACTGCCGCAGAAGGTGGCTGGCATCCTTCCTGCAGGTCATTTGACAGCCCAGCTTCACCAAAAATTATATTTCCACCATTCCTTAAATAACAGAACAATGATTGCACAAAACTGCATGGTTTTAATTATATTGCCTCCTATGTCTCTGATCTCTTCTTGACAAAAAAAAAATCTGTTAGTCAGAGTCTTAACATAGAAAGGGCAAAGCAGGCCAGAACAGAGGATCAGAAAAGGAATTCATCAGATTTGATAGGGGTTGCTTTTCCATGGTGGCCCCCTAAGATATTTGTAACGAATGAGATTACTTATTTTCTTCCTTCCACCAGGGATAAAGGGGGATGAATTTGTTATTACTGTTTGATTTTTGTTATTACTGTTTTAGGGTTTTTTTTCTTTGTAAACAGTGATGCGATGTGTAGAATTATCTGGGCAGGAGGGACAGTAGTCATTTTTCCAGGGACTATCTAGTCTATTAAACAAGGTCATCCTTAGATTCAAAGAGGTTCAGTTGAGGCACAGACATACACCACTGAAATCATGGTGATTGAAAGGGAAAACAACTTTAAAAATGGTATTTCAGTTTGTTTTAAGATGGTGTACCCATCAGAAAGCTCTATAGTTAAGGAAGGTAAAACATGAGAAAAGAATTTAAGATGTAAGAATAAGGTGAGCATTGTAATGTGGACATGGTGAGTAATACAGATGAAGCAAGGCAGAAGCAGACATTGAGGGAATGCATATTTTCCTCTGAAGCCCATTCTACTCTTTTCCATATGTCATCGTGTTTGTGTTTATGATTTTGGGAGTCAGCAAGTGCAGCCCTTGATATCTGGCTCTTTGTATACACGCATAACCTTTCTTTCAAGATTGCTTCACTTTGCACTGCATGAATTTATAAATTCTCTTTTTCCCAATCTACCAGTTACATCTGCAGCCAAAGCATTTCTTCCCTAAGAGGAGTTAAAGCCAAGCAAGAATTTGCTGATACACATATATCACTCCAAGAACGCCCCTGACAAGTCTCCACACCCAATTTAATTACTTCCCCACTGTAAAAACACTTCCCATCTGCATCTATTCTAATCATTCCAAACCCAAAATAAACACTGTAAAGCTAGCTAAACACATGAATGACATTTGCTTTAGGCTCTAAGTGGGGCAGCATTCTGTCAGGCAGTGTTTCCCCAGCGTACATTTTACGCTGATGCATTGTTCCAAATGGAGTTCAGTTCTTTTAGATTTCTTCAGAATGCTATTACAAGAGCCTAGGTTCCAAAATTTAAGCTAAATATTGCTCCCATCCCCATGTGTGTGTGTGTGTGTGTGCATGTGCGTGTGTGCATGTGTGCATGTGCGTGTGTGCGTGTGTGTGTGTATGTGTGTGTGTGTGTGTGTGTGTGTGTGTCTGTCTGCCTGCCTGCCTGCCTGTCTGTCTGTCTGTCTGTCTGTCTGTCTGTGTCTGTGTGTGTCTGTGTCCCGTTGCAGTATTGATTAAGTGCCACTTTGGGCATCCTTAGACTTAAGACTTCAAGCAAAGCTGATAACAACTGGAGGATAGAGATCAGTCAACAGAAATTTCAGTCATGAACAAAATGTCTGTGGGTTGTCCCAAAAGCCTTTATATCATGGGTTTCAGTAAGATTTGTTTCTTCTGTTTGTTTTCAGTCATTTAAAGCTTTAGGATTCTTAGACACCGATTTCCCCACTAACCCATTTTATAGGTAATTTTCAGAAATAGCTAATCCATGGCAAACAGTTGTGAATTCTAAAGAGCCCACACACTTTCAATTTATAGAAATACATATCACTAAACAATATATCACTAATAGGACATATTTTAAACAATTTTAATAATAGCCATTATTCATCTTTAAAGAAAAATTATACCTTTTGTGCTTTATAATTTTTTTGCAATGTTGGGTTAAACCTAGAGCTCCAAGTCTATTATAGAAGTCTTCTATCACTTAACTACACACCTACCTTAAAATAAAATTTTTATGGGACACAGGTAAGGATTTTCAATACAGAAAAGAAGGATCCAGTTCTAGGGACTAAAATCATTAAACTTTTGATTTGTCTGTTTCTTTTCTAACTCAGTGATACCTTTTGTAACCAAGAGTGATTTGCTGCTACAGTTTTCTGATCACTTAAAATGTACTTAAGTATAGTGTTGTATGTGGAAAAAATCCTGAATAGAATTAGATGTAAAATATTTGACATGAAATGTTCTTATTAAGAAAAATTATATTGCTATTTCCAGCTGGCTCCTTTCCAAACATTGCTAAAAAAGTATTTAATCATTTATATAATTCCTGCAAAATGAATCATAGGTATGTTAGTCATCAAAGCAGCAAAATTATTAAGAAGTATCACAGGAACAGGGTCTAGAAACTCTCTCCCTCCATACACATTCTAGATTATTTTGCTTTGTAGGCAAAAATTGAATGAGCTATCAATCTTTTTTTTGTTGCTTTGTTTTTTTTTTTTTTTGTTTTGTTTTTTTGAGGCAGGGTTTCTCTGTATTGCTTTGGAGGTTGTCCTGGAACTTGCTCTGTAGACCATGCTGGCTTCCAACTCACAGAGATCTGCCTACCTCCGCCTCTCAAGTGCTGGGATTAAAGGCATGAGCCACCAACACCCGGGGAGCTATCAATCTTGTAAGACCTTAATACATGATAATTATTCAATCCTATTTTGATAACTAATTAGGAAGAAAAAGGACCAGATGTTAATAATTCTGTATCATGTTATATGTCCATAAACTATCTAAAGGAAAAGAGAAAGAGTACATTATCATTTAATATATAGAAGAATCAATTACATGAATGTCATACCATACAAGAATTCCTTGAACAGTAAATGGATGGTCCATGATGTACATTGATTTTTCAAAAAGAAAGCATGATAGCCCTAGCCAGTTAATATGATCTGTATTGCTTTGGTATACTGGCAAAAATCACTACATTTATCCTATGCAGGAAAAAGACACAGTACACCAGTGCCCATGCCATAATAAATGACATAGAGTAGGTCATACCATTAATATTTCAAGGACATATGTTTTTGCCATGGTATTCATAATGTTTTTACTTGTCTATTAAAAATTGAGCCCTGGATTTTGAAAAGAAAGCACTGACAATGCCCAGACCTAGAACAAATCTTTTGGACAAATGGTCCAACCACAAGCAAGTCTGTTAAAGTCCTACTTGGCTATTTTAATTCATTTTTTTCTACCAGCTACCTCAAACAGTAAACAGAATGTCATTAATTTTGAGATGTTTAATTTGTTATTATTCTGAAAAATCTAGTCACATTTCATTAGAAAGAAAAATACATGATTAAAAACATATTCTATGATTATTCAGTACCAAATGCAATTCCTGATATGAATACACTGTAAGAGAGAATTAGAATGAAAAATTAAGGTTTTCGAAATGATATCTATGGAAACTTTTAATTATTTTTTGAAAGGCTTGCATTATTCTTTGCAGCAAACATCAAACAGGCTCTTTTAAAATTAGTTTTGTGATTAATAGCACCCTTAATAGATATGCCTACACAAACACATACATTACACACACACCCTTAAAAAAATCATCTGTGTTTCAAATCTACTTCATATCAAGTGCAGAGTACAACAACTTCATGGTTTTACAAAACTGCAATTTTTCTTAATGAAGTATTGACTTTTATTACTGTACCTGGAATTCTGAGGTTCTGAAACATCGGATTCTGGGCACGTTTTCTTTACCTGTAGGAAAAGAACACTAGTTATTCTCAGGAAAATATAACTTCCTCTCTCAGGGTCACATGCTCTTTAAATACCAAGTGACTACAGCTCTGTTTATCGACATCTCTATAAAATACTCTGCACATTTTATAGCAATAGATACCACATTTCATTATTGTCATGGGAATGGATGCCAAATGTACTTCCCTGGGCTCCATTACTATGCAAAGTGTTTGGTTAAAGTAGTGGGAGACCAGCTGAACTGGGAACAAAGAAACCAAAGAACAAGTTTCTCAGTTAGGAACTAGGAAGTCATGCTGTTCTCAGTCCATTGAGAATGTTTCTCCAGTGGCCATGGCTTCTGTCTCCTACTAAGGCACACAATAATAAACAGTGTTCCTGAAATCATTCCTATGTTAATTTTCTATTGTCGCAATGTGACTATTTTATACATTCTCAGCATATCGATTAAGTTTGAGCATTGTTCTTAGACTTTTCACACACCTGTGCAGTTAGTACCAGGTACAAAATCCAGATCAACTTGAGGGGTTTAACCTATAATATGGGTAAGGAATGAAAATAACATTTTCTTCTGGGGTTTGCTATCCACTTCTGGGTAGAGAGGTGTGCAGTTCACTTCTAAAGGCAAAACACATATCCATTGTCTTTTACTTTAACTTCAAGTACAGATACCTGTCCGATTTGTACCAGTGTATGTGGGAATGACTTTTGAGACAGGGTCTTATGGATCCTCAGATGGCTTAGAGCTTGCTATCTACCTGAGGATGACCTTGAGCTTTTGTTCTCCCTGTGTCTACTAACAAAATACTGGGATTACAAGTCTGTGCTACCATACCCAGTTTGATTCTTGTGGTCCCTCAAGAATGTTGTATTGAAGCAGATTCCTCATAAATCCTTCAGTTCATGTTAGGAATGTACAACATACATTTCCATGTCACATATTATGGATAAACATATTGTGGATGTCTATCTGTGCAACCTACAGGATCAAGGGAGATTGAGCTTCAAATATGTAGCCTGGAGGGGAAAAAAAAAAGAATGTCTACTCATATAAAACATGCCCACATTTGAGTCACACACCATGTGAGATAAATAGCTTGCCTTGAAAAGACATTCCAAATTTTTAGGGTACACCCGCTGATTTCCAGCTCCCGAAATAATTCTTTCATCCTCTGTCAACTCAGAAGAATGCTTTAAAAACAAACACTCATATCCCTATACTTTCAAACATCTGTGACTTCTGCTTCATTTCTCAACCTAGATGTTTTTGTTATCTGGGAAACCACCCGTTTAATTGATCAGCTCTATCCTCTGTTTTACTTTTCCTGTATGAAAATGACACGGACTAGTCGAGAAATTGTCATCTTGTCCTCTCAGGTGACTCCAGCGCTGGAAGGTTGAGGGGTGAAGAAACACTTTCGAAAGTAATTAAGAGGAGAAATGGTGAGCTAGGAGACAGTGCTGGAGAGCTCATCCAGGTAATGACAATGAGGGAAAGAGAGCAAGCTGACCAACCCAGTCACCATCCAGGCCCAGAATCAAGGCTAGGAGTTGGCTGATCCCAACACCTACCAAATCCATGAACTGTTAGAGCATGTGAAGGGGATGAATCTACAGATCTCAAACAGTGGGATCTCCATAACACAGAACAACAACAGTATATCCAAGACGAATCCCAGTGAGAGCCCATTATCAGTGGTGCGGCAGAAACCAGAGGTCCTGAGCCAGACTAATAACTTATAGTAATGAACACTTACTTGCAAGTAAAACCATGTATCTCAACTGGACACACTGCAGAGCCCACAACTAGCTACTACTTCTTCCTCTTTTAATTTTCGTTCTGTTTCTTTGTTTTGTTTGTTTTTTGGTTTTTCTTTTAAATGTGCTTTTGATTTGGTGATGGTTGGGTGTCTCAAGGGCAGAAGGCAGATGTGAGAGGAAAGGGAGAAAAGTGTGATTGTAACTTATGATGTGAAATCCACAAAGGATCAATTTGAGAAAAAAAAGGAAGTACACAAAAGAAAAAATACTTTTCCAGGGCTGTCTATGTGACATTGGATTTGGAACTGTTCACTGAAACCTGGGCTCACAGTGGGTATGTAAATAAAGACAATTGCTTTCCCTTTTCCAAGAACATATCAGTAACCAATAGATCAACGGGAGAGTTAGGGTCCCTTGAGCCCTGTTCCCATCCATAAAACTGTTGACAGACACAGTCATAGGCAGGCCCAGGGAACATAGCTCCGGCTATGTAATGCCTAGAAGTTGACATTTTTCAGCCTGTTTTCCTTATTTGAAGAGGATGGGTGAAAGTTTGTGTGTGTGTGTGGTGGCAGGAGGGGGGGTGATAAAAAAGGGTGGGAATTAAAGAAATCACAACACATACACATGTATGAGATTATCAAAGAACACATTTGATTAATGAAATTACTTTCTAAAACACAAATGACTATTTTAGTTCCTAAAAAGTAAATGAGAATTTAAACTCATACAACTCATTATCAAGTCTTTGATAGCCTCATTGTCTAAGAAAATTAAGAACTAAATAGAAGGACATTATGATACAGATTTCTTATCTATCAATATTTTTCCTCATGATTTGTCACCAGAGCCTGTAGAGAGCTACCAGATGAATGCACAGAAATGACCCCAAAGTTCATGTCACTTTCCTCAGGATGATGACTTTGGGACTGACTGAAGGACCAGAACAAAACAGTGGAGACACACCCTCCCAATCAAACCAGAGCACAGCAGTGGAGACACACCCTCCCAATCAAACCAGAATATCCTGCCAATCAAGAGACAGATAGCTAGTAACTTGGGCACAGACTTTTTTCAGGCCAGTCACTTACACTCATAAGAAGGAATTTGCTATTCTTCAGCTATTGTGAGAGTTCTATTTCCACCTCAGTGGTTATTACGACTGTATCCACTTTGCTCAAGGCCAGATGAGGGAAGAAGGATGGTCTTTAGGATGTGTAAGCACTGTATAAGAATTGAGCAAATGCATTGCAGGTATGTAAGGAACTAACTCAGCCAAATGCAGAGGAAAAATGAAGCCAATGAACTGGTTTCTCAACTGAGCATTAGAGGCTGTAAACCGTAATGACTCTGTCTACCTAAGGGTAGGTGTAGGCATTTCGACAGATCAGATGGGACAGGTATTCTGGCACTCGGGAATCACAGAATACTAAGTGTTACACAGCTCAGATGGAAAGGTATCTATCCTGGAGCTCAGGAGCCAAGGACTATCACAGGTCTTAGTAAGCATAGCAGCTTACAGCCCTGCCTCAGGGAAAGGCTTCCCAGTGTACGGGCTCTGTTCTGGCAGGAGAAGGTCTTCCAGCTGGGAATGTTTGCCCAGTGTTGCAGTTTTGCTCCTAGGAGAAGGTTTCCTGGGTGAAGTTGCTACAGTTCAGCTCTGCTCCCTGGAGAGTGGAGAGCAGGAGTGTAATAATTCCACTCTACCAGGGGAAGGCTTCCCCAGAAAAAGTGTTACAGCTCCACTCTCTACTGTGCCCAAGGTCATCTCAGCTCTGCTGCAAAAGATCTTCACCCAAAGCTCATCCAAGGGGTTTATTGGGAGGGAAGAATCCAGGAGATTCTCGTGGATTCTTCCCTCCAAAACGGCAGAGGACAGCCGGGTTGCATGAACAGCCACAAACTGAACAGACACAGAATTTATATAGGGCTTCTTGGGGGGGGGTTCCAGGATGGGGATTGGTCAGATTTCAATGCTGAGCTCAGATTGGCTAGAGCTCCTGCTCAAGGATTGGCTAGTTTTCTGCACAGAGTTAGGGTCAGATTTGACTCTGGTTTTAGGGCCAAAGTGTGTTTCTTTCTCTGGTCCTTTTTAGCCTTTTGGCTCTAGTTTCAGGGTCAGGGTACATTTCTTTGGTTCTGGTTGCAGGGCCAAAGTGTGTTTCTTTGGCTCTGCTCAGGGTGTGTTTCTTTTGCTGACCCCCTTTCCCTATAGTAGGTGTGTGACTAACAAGGGATTTGCCAGACAAAGCACATGATAATGTCCCTATGCCAGGCAAAGTACCAAGAAATTTTCCTTTGGGCAGTGTGGACTGTTGAAAAGTTTTAAGATGCATGCATGGGAAGCAGAGATGGCCTAGAAGATACAAAGTGAACCCTGAAGGGCAGAAAGGAGCCTTCTACAACAGCCTATGGTCTAAAGCTCCGAGAGTACACAAATGCCATTGACCTTGTTCACACTACACCCCCAGTATTGAGAAGGTGCTTCATCAAGTGAGTCAGTAGCTTAGCAGTGAGGATAGTGAAGACCCAAACTGAAATAGGAGCCTAGGAGGAATGAAAAGATACTTTGTACAGACATTTCTGACCAAAACTGACTGAATGTTGCAACTGACTAAAGTACTGATACGACCTGAAAATTATCTGTCTACTGAAATAACTGATTTTTCTTTGTAAATCAAGGACATGGGGCACTCAGATTCAAGGTGAGTGAAAGGAAAGGAGCCTCAAAAGCGCATCTAGGTGCCTCTAGCTTCCACCCTACTATCTCTACTACCCCACTAATTACAGTCAAAGTGTTTACAGTCAAAAGCACTGATTCTCTGAACAGACAGAGTTTTCACAGAGCAAGGCGCTAGTGAGAGCCTGAGAAATGCCTGTTCCTCTCCATGCAGAGGGGTACAGGATCCCAGCAGTTCAGCAGAGAGGCTAGCAAAGATACACAGCCATGGCTGCTAGTTCCTTAAAATACACACCATGGCTAGACTAAACTAATCCACTCTCTGTGTAAAAACACATTGGACTTCAAAATGTAAATTAAAAAAAAAGAAATAAAATGCCACAGTATCCTTTATGTTGGAAAATGGCATGATTTCTTGAACTAGGTTTGATTTAAAAAAAAAAACATTTTCTCTTGTTCCTTCTACTTTTATCACATGGCCCCAGAAGATTTTTTTTTTTTTGGTTTTTATGAGACAGGGTTTCTCTGTATTGTTTTGGAGGCTGTCGGTCCAGCCCGG